AGTATGAAAATTTAAATATCTAGGAAGTGTTTTAACAGAAGACAAAAAATGTAACCCAAAAATCGCAGTAGAATAGCAAAAGATGGCTTTCGAAACTAAAGGAAGTATTAAAAAAACATGAAAATCTTTCTAATAAGAGTGATGAACTGCCATTTAATATCAGTCCTCCTATATGACAGTGAATACCAGACAGTCTCCTCACAGATAAAGAAGAGAACCTAGATCAATAGAAATATGGTTCTACAGAAGGATGCCAAGAATGTCATAGACGTGAATATTTGAGTAAAGATGAAGGTTTCAGGAAAATGGAAATGAAATGCATGCTTAAACTTAGAATCAGAAAGAAACATTTGAAATTCTAGAATGAGAAAAGTGGGTTTGGAAAATTTAACACCCACATTATATCCTGAAGCAAAGTAGTATAGTGAGTAAACTACCCAAGAAACTTTTGTAAATTGATGCTGGGAAGGATGGTGAAAAGACGATTCTTAGAGCTACAAAGGATAGGAAGGTGTGGAGAGCCATGATTGGCCATGTCCGGAAGGAACACAGCACATGGAAAAGGTGTGTTATGGAACTTCATCTGCCATGAATAGATGTTTTTTGTTTTTTTCATTTTTTTTTTTTTTTAAATCCAAATAACAGTCAGTTTTTACTGGGGAAAAGTCCTTGGAAAATGGATATTGATATTCCATGTGTTCCAGAAGCTTCCACTGACGAATACTTTGAACTGCTCCCCACACCATAACCCAAAATCTGCCATGTTTGACACTCAGCTGCAGGCAACTGGCTTGATGTACTTAAGAACCATAATCTGCTCTTTGAAAACCAAGCAAATGAGGATTCTTGTGAAAAGTGCCAAATCTCTAATGGTGTGTCCACTATTTCAGTTGTCCAATGCTTTCTCTGCTAGGAGAAAAATACATGCGGTGCCAAGAGTCATGGGTTACAAAAGAATCAGCAGCCAAAACATGTGTGGATAAGTACACCAAAGTCAAAGTCAAATTCCAACTACCACCCTCTAAAAACAAGGAAGTTCTTGACAAAATCCAAAAAGGATCTGCAATGTAATTGATTCTGACTTAGCATCTTGACTTCAGTTACTTTCTCATTGATGTGATGTGGCTTCCCTCTGTCTTTTCTACAAATGATTTTGTTTGTTGAAGTGTGTTTGAAACAAAAACCATGTTTTCATTGATTTTGTATCAGGTTTTCCTCACTTTTCAACGCACTTTCAATGATTCGTGTTTTATTAATTACCTTTGACTTTATTAGTGAAATTAACTTTTCCGCACATCTTCAAAGACGAATTGCTTATTTGTAGACCTTTAGAGTATAATTTTTTGTCTTTATTTTCTTTTGCATATTTTTTTTTGTTGTTGTAAAATTTCATTGTTTTTAATTATATTCCAACTTTCGGTTTTCATTTTCCGCCTTTTTCTCTTGTTTTTTTATTTTTTATTTTTTATTTTTTTTTATTTGTTAAAGTATTGTCTGTTGATTTAAAATTGGCATTTTTCCCTAATACCTTGACTACTTGAATTTAAGCATACTGCTAGATTGACATCGAGATGTCACTCTTTTACTGATGAAATAGTTAAATGGAACTGCCACTTCTACTCCAAGAGTTTCTTTTCTCACACTTCCTGCCTGTGGAACTCTTTTCTGTTTACTTGCTTCCCTGATAACTAGAAGCTTCATAAATTTAAAAGCAGCATCAATTACTATATTTTAGAATCCCATTCAGCTTTTATCCTTTCCTCAATTCCCACCCCGCTATACCCAGTCTTTTCTCTCAGCTTCACTCTCTGTAACCTCCTGCATACTGGTGGCATTCCTGCCTTGCTTGGGGTGAAATGATTAAAAAAAAATTGTTTATATGCAAATAAGATGCCCATGACTGTTTCAATAAAACTTTAAATGTTCTTCTGACAAGATCTGAGTTTAGAGTCATTTTAGGCAAAGAATACATGCAACATATTCAGACAGAGAGATTCTCTATGTGTAATGTCCCTTCAAGATGTAGATGATCATGGCTTTCCCCAATTTCCTATCCTTTGTAGCCTTTAACAATGTTTGTCCCACTCCCCGTTCTGCCTCATGCTGAGTATGATAGTAAACTACATCCATATCCTTGGTAAGATGATAAACTACGCCCAACAGCAAGGCCTCTGATCAGGAGGTTTTCAGGAGCGCGGAACCACCTCTTAATTGTTGGTGTTCTCAAGTCCGCTCTAACCTGCGGTGGTACCACCTGTTAGGGTCCCAGCTATGGGCAAATAGTAAATGCCCAAACTGGGGTCAAAACACTATGAAGTGTAAAAACAGGTTTTAATACTTGAAATACTTTGTAAAAACAATATTGCCAGCAATAAATTTTTGAAAAACAATATTGCCAGCAATGCATATTTGAAGGAAAATTACTAGAAATAGATTTTTGAAGAAAAAAACATTTCCAGAAATAGATTTTTGAAAAAAAATTACCAACAATAAAAATTTTGTCGGCATTAAATAACACATTTAGTTTGAAACAAAATGAGCCAAAAACCCTGATCTCCCATCCATTTTGCACAAGCTCCAGTAAGTTACTCACAATTTCTCTGTCTCTTTTGTCATCAATATGTACCATTTGTCTCAAAATTCCAAAGCTTTTTTTTCTTCAGGTGTCCAAGAAATGTCAACTTTCTGTTTGCTCATTAGTAATTTTTTTATTTTTTTTATTTTATACACACTTCAAGATACTGTCCACTGTGTAGAAAGATATGTTGTTTAACCGTAGGTTAATCTATTGTATCTAATATATTTCATATGCAAAATAAAAAGCATACTGCTCTCTTTAGCCATTACACACGACATCACTTTGGACTGATGGAAAAATCTCAGTACTCTATAAAATACCAGGATGTAGCCAATAGAATCTTATCTACCACACTAGCAGCACATGGTTCTTGATAATGACTGACATGGTTGAAAGTACTTAAACAAAAACAACAGAATAAACATGTGCTTCAGACAGCCCAGAATTTTGATCGTGATGTACATCTTATTTGAAAATTGAAAAAATACAATATTAAACAGACTGACCTTTTGTGTCTTAGTGGCTTTATTGCCTTGTTGGGGTGAAATAATTAAAAATAAACAGAAATCAAAAGAAAATATAATAAATATAAAAAAAAAAACAAATGACTTTGTTCCATGTGAAAACCGAGGCAGTATTACAGTGTCTCACACTCTTCAGGGACTACAAGTGACATGATGCTCAATTTATTATTTAAAGATACTCAGCTTGTCATTTAAACAGGATGAGATACTCGATTCGTAACTTATATATATATATATATATATATAATTAAATGGACAAAGTCCGACAATTATTTTAAGACATTTTAATGTTTATACATTCATTTTTATAGATACAAATATTTAAGTAAATGCTCTGTTTATAATAAACAGTATTAACGATATTTACAAGCCTGAATGTCCGAGAAATTTTCATAGAAAATATGCGTCCTCCAACAGGAATCGAACCTGTATCCTAAACAGAACCGCCATCGAATACAAGTTCAATTCCTGTCGGAGGACGCATATTTTCTATGAAAATTTCTCGGACATTCAGGCCAGTAAATGTCATTAATACTGTTTATAAACAGAGCATTTACTTAAATATTTGTATCTATAAAAAAGAATGTATAAACATAAAAATGTCCTTATATATAGTTTTAAGGTAGTCTATATTTGTGGGTTAAAGTAATTAATATCCAGGATAGAAGATATGTAAATATAAAATAGGACACAGCAATTAACACCAAATGACAATAGTATGTTTCATGCTTCACCACAATCTTCAGGCCATCTATGTTGTAAATATTAAAGTGGACATTAAGATCAACACTGCCTGTTGATTTGAATACCTGAGGATTATGTTTGAGCATGAAACAGACTGTTGTCACTGGGTGTTTACCCCAAAGTCCACTTATATAATGTATACAAACAACAATGTGGCTATTTTTCGTTGATTACACCAGTTCTCATTTGATCACTAAAGTTAAACAGCATTTAAACTGGTGATGTAGGCTTGTGTGTTCTTTGTTATAACATTGGTTTACAAAGTTGCTTTCTTCTGATTGTCCTGTCACAACAACCCATTCTTGGAGACACTCGAACTTGCAATGAGACTATATTTTTTAAATTTTCTTTGTTTCTACACTAAGATAATTTTATGATGGGTGAGACTGAATGCAGTTACATTGGGTATTATACATTTAGGATTAGTATCTATACAGTTATCTCTGTTGTTATATCATTGGCACCCATCCATCTCTTGAATTTATAGAATTATGCTCTGGATGATGCTTCTGCTGCTTCTTATCTCTCTAGTGCACAAATCCTGACTTAGTGACAGACTGTTACTCAGGCAATTAACCCTGCCTTCTTTATATCACTGAAGTTATACTGTGGAATGTTAGTTGCTGTTGTTCCGAGCACTGATGCAGGAGTTGCCAGGATATGACTTGTACATAAACGTGAACTTTCTTGGGGATAACACCTCCAGATTTATCATCAGGTATTATTCCTAAAGCCTTTCCAATGATTGAGCAAAGCAATAGAGATTTTTCTTTTCTTATGTGGACTATCCTCCCAGACTAATGAGTTCCATCTACCTGATCAAGGTTATGGCACGTGGCAGTCCTAAGCATTCAATGACCAGGTTCAGTGCCTCTTAGTGACTGACATTCATTTTTTTACAGTTTTGTAGGTTATTTAAAGCCAGAAAATATTTTTAAATTATAAGAAATTTTTTTTTTTTTTTTTTTTTTTGAGATAATGATTTAGAGATGCAAGACTTACTAACTAACCCTTAGCTGGAGGAGAAGTGAATTCATACTTTCCCCGAGGCTATTTGTGAATGAGTGAATATAATGAACCAAACTGAAATTGGAACACGCCTCTCCAATCGACAATTCCAACCCATTATTCATTATATCACCTGCACATCTAAGCTTACAGTAGCTGCTATTTCCAAGCAGTCATCCATCTAAGTACTGACCAGGCTTGACATTGCTTAACTTCAGTGATCATACTGGAACCAGTGTTTTAACACTATATGGCTGTAAGACCATTGATGCTTAACTTCCATAATTAGATGAGAAACCTTGTCATAGACATGATACTCTTAGGTCTGCATTCTTAAGGGTCAGTCAGTTGTGTGCCATGCGTGATACACGCTTAGGTGATCATGTATCTTTCGATACATGACTGATGAGGCAGATTTTTTTCCCGCTGTAGGTTGCCATTTCTTTCTGTGCTAGACTAATTGCCATCAAATTATAGAACCTGCTCTGTCCTGCTATTTACCCATAGCGGGGTGGGTGGGTTTGAAAAAGAGGATTCATACATTTCCCAAGGGTATTAGCATGTAAGTGAATGTAACATATTCATACTAATACTCTTGGGAAAGGTATGAATCCTGCAAAGTCCAATTACCTTGGGACTTCTACAAATCTTCTCACTTCATTTTCAAACGCAAAACATAAACATAGAAATTTTCCACAAAGATTTTATTAAGACCCTCTATCTGTTTATTGCATAATGAGAAAAATTCTGACCCCACTAATTATTAAGGCTATGCCTTTTGATTAGGCACTTCACAGTAATGATGTCTATTTTCTCATGTCATAGGTAACTACTATATGGATATAAAATATGTTAGAAAGAAAAAATCTTAACGAAACGCCTTTGTATTCTTTCTGGAGAAAAAGTAATGTATGTAAAAAAAAAAATACTTTGAAAACAAAAACAAACATAGCTTTCATGTTTCTATATGATAGGTCAGGGACAAAGGCTGGACTTGAGGCTAACAATTTACTGTCTTACCAGACGTTTTAATCTCTCTGATGTTTTCATTGTATGTAAAAAAAAAAATTCTCCCAAGCAGTTTTCTGTAGCAATTTGGGTGAATAATAATAATAAAAAAATCATTAGTTGATTGTATTTATTTACTGCATTTGTCATGCCTCCATTTCTCCTGGCATTCTCAAGAGGCTGTCACTGTGAAGCCTGACTTGTACAGAACAGACTACAGTTCTGTGATGTTTTTTAATTGGCATACTGCAAGGGATCAATGAATTCTTGCACCCTTATAAGTCTGTCATGCATTAAATATTGCTTGTGCTTCTACTATGGACTCAGATTCTTAAAAAAAAATGTTATCAACCTTGACCTGACATCTTGTCTTTGGTTACTTTCCCCACTGCAAAAATATAGCTTCTCTTTGTCTCTTCTATAAATACTTTCCTGATAATCATTCTGATCAACCTTTCTCTTTGGTACCTCAACTCCATGAATTTAAGCATAGTACAAGATTGGCAGCTAGGTCTTCTCATTTTAATGTTGAAAATTGCTAGATGTAAATATGAATTTCGGCTATGATCCCTACAGCTATATTATAACTCTGATAAACTTTATTTCAAATTATAACATTTGGGACCAAAGAAAATCTCAAAAAAAATGAACAAAATAGATAAATATTGCACAGTGTCCCCACTCAAAATTGACACCATTTTGTAGTCTAATAGCATTGCCAATTCTTGCTCAAATGAACTCAAATTTTAACAAAATGTGTAAAGCCTAAATTGATTGGGCAGACCTATCTCAATAAGAATCTACCAGCAAGATGGATCAGGCATGCCAGTGATAATGACAATTTGCTGACATGTTCACCTGACTTGACACCTTGTGATTTTTTTTTTCTATGTAGGCTATATGAAAGGACAGGCCTATATCCCCACTCTTCCTACACACTGAGAGGAATATCAGCAGAGAATCACTGAGGTGCTGGAGAATGTTACGCAAGACACGCTACAGCATGTTTGGCATGTGCTGGACAACTGATTTGACCTGTGTCATGTCACATATTGAACATTTGTGAAATCAGTTATAAAATCTACATCCCTTTGAATATCTTGTTCGAATCTTGATAAATGTTTTATTGTTTAACATGGAACCTATTTTGTTTGTCTGAGGCAGATAGTTACTCAGGTATTGACATTTTAAATGTATATAACCATAATTAAAATAAGCAGAGTAAATATCCAGTTGATATCCCTTCCTCCCTTTCACATTATTCTATATATATATATATATATATATATATATATATATATATATATATATATATATATATATATATATATATATATCAACATATAGAGATGAAGCAAAGGATCATGATATATGGCATGCTGGAAATATGAAATTGACAGTCACACAGCAGTATTAATTTCAACTTCTGTACTCTCTCTCTCTCTCTATATATATATATATATATATATATATGGGCACCTCAGCATGGTGTAATGGTTAGCAAACTTATCTTGCTAGATCAGTTACTATTGAAAAGTGAGTTCGATCCTCAATGGATGTCCCATGCTTTTGGCCTTGTGCCACATCTAATCTTCACTTGGAAAATCTTTGGGGCACCTCGAGGTGTTGTAATGGTTACCAAGCTTGTCTCGCTAGAACAATTACAACTGAGTAGTGAGTTCAATCCTCACTGGGCGTCCCTTTCTTTCGGCCTTGTGCCACATCTAAGCAACACTTGGAAAATCACTATATATATATATATATATATATATATATATATATATATACACACACAGACACAAATGCACTATATTGGATATTTAGCACACTTCTCTCATAAATGAACCAAATTTTAAAATCTTCACACAGATGAAGATTTGAAAAAAACAGAAATTTGGTTCTACAGAAAGATACTGGGAATACCATGGATTGAACATTTGAGCACTAAATTTCTAGAGAAAATGAAGACAAAAAGGACACTTAACATCAAAATAAGAATTTTAGGTTTTGGGCAAGTTGTCCATTGGTTCCATCAATGGTTTTTGTCATTCTTATATATATATGTGTATATATATATATATATATATATATATATATATGTATATGTATGTGTGTATATGTATGTGTGTTATGACCAAATATTTCGGGCTGAGGACACATTGGAATTGTGACTTTTGAAACATAAAAATAATGTAATTTCATTCCCTTTTGGAAGTTAAACACTCTAAGATTGCTCTCCCACTCCACTGTGAGAAATGAGGGATTTTTCTTGCATTGGCTGAATCAAGTGACTAATTTTTCGTCTTTGCATTAATGTCAAAAGCAAAAATAATTGTCGACAAGAATGGACATTGCTTTTCTAATGGTACTAAAAAGGGGCTTTGGTGTGTGTAATTAATTTGAAAGTGACAAAATTTAGCAGGTGGAAAAAATTAATTCAGCTTTTAATAGTGTCTTTTTTCTCTTTTTCTCTCTTGCTACTATAATTAACAGTTATACAACTCAAATCAGTGTGTGTATGTCCTGATCGATTTCAACATGAAAAACAGATCTTGCATTGAAATTTTTGACTAGAATGAAAAACAAATATTCTTTATTCTAATTTTTATTTATGGTTAAATTTGTAGGACTTGTATCAGTAAATCATTATCTTCAAAAATTCTTAAAGGAGAGTCTAGATTACAACAACTCATGTAAAATTCTGCCTTTTACTTTCTTAAAATACATACATACATATACACACACACACACACACACACACACACACACACACACACACATATATATATATATATATATATATATATATATATATATATATATATATATAAAAAATATAACATATATTTTAATACATGTATACAGTGTTCTGTAATGGTTTGGAGATTCTCAGGGCTATGAATTCTAGTAATAAATGAATCCTAGAAACACGCTTGTAATTTTGGTATAATAATTACTATATACATACCATTGCAGCCCTCATATATATATATATATATATATATATATATATATATATATATATAAAGAGAGAGAACAAATGGAGTGAAATTCCGCTGTTCGTAGCATTTACTTTTAAAATATATTACTAAAAACGAAAGCTATTGTGTAGCAATTTCAACATGTTTTTGTCCTAATGTCTTATATTAAAAATAATAATATATATATATCTTGGTGACATCTAGAGGTTTTGTGACTCAAATAGGGGGTGGCTGCCTAGCACTGAGAAATGTGGGAAAGAAGAAATTTTAAATATGTAAAAACAGATGAAACATGAAATAAACACTTTATTCATATTAAATATAAACTAAATCTTTATTTCACTTTTTGATTGAATGCCCTCCCAGTATGGATACCTGGGGTCATCACACCCTCTTCCCCACCTTTTGCATGCTACTGCATGCATATTTTGTGTAAATATTAGTTGATTCATATGAAAATAAAACCATTGTAAATGTATAGTAAAGGTTTTTATTTTTCACAATTTTTATGAAAAATATTTCTTATTTCCTCAATTTTTACAAGAAAAACACTCTACACAAGTTACAACATTAAAAATATACTTGGCAGTGAACAAGTTAAATAAACATTGAGTTGCGTAATTCTTATTTTTAAGGACAGAATCAGCAACCAAACAGTGTTTTCTATTTTCATCTGAAACTCTCAGTCGAAAATATGGCATGTGTTCATCTTTTTATATCTGATACTTTTTTTTTGCACATATGCCATTGGATAATAAATGCCTGTCATTTGGCAGAGAGTATTTAGTAGGAGGGAAAAATGAAATGGATTTTTTTTTTTTAAATTTATGAATTCCCAACTTGAGAAAGTATTGGTCACCAATTGAAGAATACAAGATGATGATGATATTGTTTCAAACAAAATGAAGCATTTTAAGCAAGGATTATTTGGGGTGAACAATAATATGTAGGTGTCAAAGTATGAATTTCAGACTTCTATTCATCGAATTAGAGAGAGAATATCTCTATTATATGTGGTTGAAAATGCTGAAATAGTTATGTAGCTCATTTTCAAGACAGACCTGAATAGTGACATGTGTGGCTTAAGGCCAAAAGAGGGAAATTTGGAGTAGAATTGTTTTTTTCATTTTGGGGGAAATGCCGAAAAGTTTGATCAAGAATAGTTAAGAAAAAAAAAAAGTAAAAAATAAAATAATGATTTACATCAGACAATATGGTTAAATCTGAGGAGGTGGGGAGAGGAGAGAGCATTTCTTCACCACCCCCCC